GCAGGCATTGCCTTGGTGGTTCACTAGATGTTTGATGATGTAAGGTGTCCATGGAGATTTTGGCTTTTTGTTACCATGTATGAACGCTAGGCCTTTTGCTGCCTCGGAAGCTAGCTTTAACCTCGTACTCCAACTCATGGAATCCTTCCCGTCCTCTACCTGCAAAGAACATATTATGTCCTTAAACTAATACATTTTTTCAAATAAGTCCTTAAATAGTAAAATTTTATAATTTAGACTAACCATGCAAGAGTGAATGCAAGCTTCCATTTGGTAGAAATTCATAGGCCAAAAGCACTCCTCCTTGGAGTTATAGTACGCTAGGAGGCTCACAACGTTGGCATGCCTCAACCCACCAATTATTCTCAACCACCCATCAACATCCCTCCGCTCCTCCTCTGTCGTACCCTTTCACCACCCCACATCGCCTCCGTCCGTCACCACCTTGTAATGGTCCCCACACACCCTTTTCCCAACAGCTCCGCCGAAGACTTTAACAGATCACCACTTTCCTAAAACCCTTGCACCCTTCCAACACCACCAATTCCTCCGCCTCTATCGAATTCCGCCTCGACGATTTGGAGCTGGACCTACTTTTTGTTTCCGTTCCATCGTTTTGAGAAAAACACTTGTATTTGTAACAACACCACGTAACGGATACTATCGCCGTCATAACGGCCACCGCGTCGACGGCGATGATCATCAGGATCACTTCATTGCTTAGCCTCTTCGTCTCGGGGTTACGCATCTTTGTGTTATGGACGCGGGGAGTGCCGTCCGATTGAAACATCGGACGGTAGAGGATGGCCGCAGAGGGCTTGTTTCCCTCGAAGGAAGATATTGGAAACGAGACATCCACGACGGAATCTCGCCGGATAGACTGTTATCAGAGACGTTAAGTCCGAAATAGTAGAAAACGAGGGAATTGAGTTGAGTGGTCCAGTGAACGAATTCGACTCGAGGCGGAGTCAACAAGTAGGCAGCTGAGTCAAGTCGGCCATCGGATTTCGCCGTGGAAATCGTTGTGCGAAAGATCGAGACGGTGGAGCCGCCTAAGAGTGGAAATTCCGGTGGGGAATGTTCCCGAGAAGAGATTTCCACGGAGGTAAAGATGCCTCAAGTAACGCCATGAAGACAAATTAACTCGGGAAGTAGAGAAAAATCGATTATTTTTAAGGCTGAGGAGTCTAAGGTGAGAAAGGTGATGCAGTGATCGAGTTGACCCAGAAAGGTTTAGGTTCTCAAGAACGAGTCTAGTAACTCGGTGAGTCGAAGGGTTGCATGTTACACCATACCAAGAATCAGAGCAAGGATTGGATGAGTTAACCCACGAGGAAAGCGAGTTTGAAGGGTCAAAAACAGAGTCTTTGAAGGACAATAAAGCCTTATAATCAACACTGCATTGACCCAAAGTGAAAAACAAAAAGAAAATCACGAACATCACCTTTCCCATTAATTTTCCCAAGAAAACGATGGAGACAAAAAAAGGAACCAGAGAGAATAATATACCCAATACAGAATGGGAATTTGAGAGAGGGAAGTAGCCGTTGATATATGATGTTGAGGAGAAGAGGGTGACACGTGAGGATGGAGCGTAGATCACGCGCGCATTTGTCATCAAAGCGAAACACGATATTGGGTCAGGTGCGTGGAAATGAAAAGGAGTTTGGCATATACGAAAAACGATATTTGGTAAAATTTACTTTTAGTCCCTTTAAAATTGGACTTTATTCATTATATATTAATTTAATATTTCTCTCACTAACTAAAAAATCATTAATACGTAAATACAATCAAACCAGAGGCCCTTCATTCAACTCTTATCATCGAATCTCATTCTGAACATTGATCAGAGTTTAAGGCACCAAATAATATGGACTAAATATAAATTTGAACATAATCGAGAGATTAAGACCGAAATTTGACCAAAGGATTAGCAGTGGGAATAATGGGATTAAGACGTGCGTGTAAATGACTGGCGTAGTGTAGTGTCCACGACGCCAGACGATTCCAGCCATTGTTGAAACTGACACTCACAGCCTTATCCTTCACTCTCTTCAACGACCACCAGAGTCTCTGATAATAATATTTTTATTTTCTCGGCAACCAATCACAATTTTTGACTTAAGTTCAACTGCAAGAATCTCTTTCTTCTTTTCTGGGGTTTTCGTTCTGTGGTGTGAAATAATATCACAAGTCAAAAGATTTGCTTACTTTGGAGATCTGTTATTATCATGATGCATTATGGAAACGATTAAGATTTCAGTAAGCAAAACCTCCATATTAATTATTGCATCAAATAGAAACTTAACACAAACAATTAAGATATTCTTGGAATGTATAATTGTGAACTTCAAGTTAATTATATGTATAGATGAGTATTTGATCGACTTGGATGATAATATTTAAGTTAATTAAATTTATAAATATATTTTACTATTAAACTTTGATTTGAAAAAATAAATCGAGTTGATATATTTGTTTAAATTTAAATACTAATTATTTAAATATAAATATAATTATAATATTATTTACATATGCTTGCATGCAGAAAAGAGCTGAAGTTTTGTGACCGACAGTTAAACCTAAGCAAAAATGTGTGAAGATAGATTAGTAGTACAATTATGTCAGAGATAGATAGAGGGAAAAGAGCAAGGATAATGGTCTTCTCTAAAGTTTAAAATTATTATACATTTTAAATTTTTTATATAATTTGTATTAAAAATATATTTTCTTATCCACTTAAATTTTATAAATTTAAATTTATCCTATTAAATTCTACGTGTGCATATTGTTGAATTGATCTGATAGAGTATGTGGGTATATATGGGCCAATTATAGATTCGGCAAATCCAAACAAAATTTGTCGTACAAGGATACGAGTTAGCAGGCCATGTCTGCTTCTGCAAGAAGCTCAAACAACCCAAGCTCAGATTTTGGAGGCAGATATGTTTAAGTTGCCCCACCCTCCTTACCATTTTTCCTAGGCTTGTAAACAAATTGGACTTTTAGCGAATGGTTTGTGAACCATTCCGCGGGAAACTAATATATATTTATTAATTTATTTATTAAATAAACGAATATGAATAAAATTTTATTTTCGTTTAATTAAAAGAATAAACACAAACAAAAGACTCGTTTATTCATTTACGTTCGTAAACGTTCGATAATCCATTCGTTTTTATTCGTTCATTTATGTTCGAATATATTTGTTTGTTTATGTTCTCCAAACCTGTCTCAAATAAAGACTTAATAAATTTACATTAAACCCTTAAACCCATTAATATTTTTAAACTCAATTAATGTTAAATCCAAATAAAAATACTCAAATCAATTAAAGAAAATATAAACCATAAAATTATTTGAAAAGAAAAAAATTCTTATAAAATATAAACCCAATTAATTTTATGTTCGTCGTTGACGTTCGCTTATGTTCTTTTGTTTGTATTCGTTTATGTTCGATCATTTGTTTATCATTTAACGGATGAACACAAACTGACAAGACTGATCACGAAAGTAACCTTGTTGGGATTCTTCGTATTCTTTAGCATCTTTATCTGTTCACTTATCTCTTGTTTGAATTTCAAATATTATTGTTAAACAGATTGATATATCTGTGTATATATATGCTGCGGTTATGTGTTAAAGATGATGAATAAGATTATTCTTTTCAACCTATTTTCCATTGCTCTATCTCAATACATGGTATCAGTTGCCTAGCTCATACGAGGTTAGGTTTCGATTCCCATGGCCATTGATAACTCCCTTTCCAATCCTCTTAACCCCAGTAACCCCCTCACCATAGTCACGATTCATAACTCCACTCAAACTTAAGGTTCACTACAACAAAACTGTACAGTTGCGACGTTTTTTTACCTATAGCAGCATTTTTAAGCGCCGCAAAAAACACTTGCGGCGATATAAAAAATGCCGCAAGAAGCGCCGGGCAAACTAGCGCCGCTAAAGTTTGCGGTGTTTGATAACAAAAAATGCCGCAAAAGGTGAAGAGGCGTTTTTTGAATAAACGCCACAATAGGTGTTGAGATTCAGCGATGTTTGTCCCACAAACACAGCAAAAAGTCTAGATATTTAACGGCGTTTTTTGGATACAAACGTCGCAACATGTTTACATCTATAGCGGCGTTTTTATAAATGCCGCAAAAGGTTAAGATATTTAGTGACGTTTTTTGGATACAAACGCCGCAACAGGTATGGTATATAGCGTCATTTTCGGATACAAACGCCGCAAAAGTATAGTATATAGCGACATTTATGTTACAAATGCCGCAAAATATCTTTATTGGGGTGTTTTATGTAAAACGTCGGTATTGTTTGTGTATTTAGCGGCTTTATTTGTACAAACGCCGCTAATGAACACATAATTGACAATAATTTAATTTTTTCTTCAATTACCCCAAATCTATTTTTCAACCGTCCATTATCCAACAAACATGACATCAATAACACCAAACTCTATTTCCATAACAACCAACATCAAATCCATTATAATAAATAAAAGTTCACATTAACGTAATAGTAATGCAGTTAAACATTGTTTAGTAACATTAACAAAATATACATAAATGAGACTAAGATGGTGGATTCTGAGGTTGCATTTTCTGTAATCTGCATCATATCTTCTAGTCAATTTTCAAATTCTTGACGTTTCTGTGATATGTTGTTCTCTCTGTGCTTCTGCTACTTCTCTCTCTGCTTCTCTCGCTTCATTTTCGTCTTTCATGTTAGTCATTTGTTGATCCATTTTAGCCAAGTTTTATTTTAAACGACTAACTTATAATTAGGAAGACTGAGACTGTGATGACATGTACTGAGATGAACTGGATCCAAAATATTTGGTGGGAGTAACGAATGATCCTTGACAGCGAACCCGACCATATCTTTCAGGACCCAAAACGTCATTAATAGCTTGATTTTCAACTTGATTTTCAATGTCATCCACATTAACAACACCTTGACTCGAAGCCGTAGCTTCATACTTTGCCCTTTTCTCCCTCAATTTTTCCTAATAATAAAGTAAATAATTAATTCAAATAAAAATGTCATATTAAAGATATAAATAAAACATAATTCAAATCCTTTATCCAATAAACATACCATAATTTATGCAGCTTCAGCAGTCATAAGAGTGCCATCCTTTTTTGTATGTGTCATGTCAAAGAGTTTGATTCGGCCAACTTTAGAACCAAATGTATTTTCCTACAATGTACTATAATATAATTAGTTTGAGTTAGTATGTACATGGAATACAAATAACTATGTGAATAATCTATAATACCTCCTCATTAGCTATACAAGCAAAGCTCTTCGATCTAGCCGTGTGCGTAAACTTTTGTTGTTGCCTGCTAGCAACACCAACATGCTCTCAGTCCTACAATTTTAAACAACCACTTAGAATGAGGATTTATATTTCGTTAAAATTATTTTTGAAAAATACGTCATACTTGTTCTTTTTGTAAACTCCAAAATCTGACTGCATATTCCTATTAGTACCTAAGCATTCCAGGTGGGACAGTTTGTAGCTTCTCTTCAATGTTGAGATCTTTCTTGAAGTATATCTTTTTTAATGAGATCTTGTGGTCTCTCCATCTCTTCCCTAACGCTTGCTTCACATAATCATCAAAGACCTCTAAAGAAAATTTCTCCTATACAGGAAATAATTGTTCAACGTAAGTATAAATTAATATTGAATTGTTATAGAGTATCTATTATAATGACATTATTATCTTAACAAAATCCAACACCTGATTTTTGTTACTATTAGGCATTTTGTGCCATGACTCATAATTGATCGGTAAAAGATTAGTATTACATCCAACTATGCCTAAGTAACCGGATAGAAGATGTGCTTCTGGGACAATAGGTTGACCGACATCGTTTCTTGAAACTTTGACAGGTACCCAGGAGGAAGTTGGTATAATTCCTTCAACGTTGTACGTCCTCTACTCTTGCGTGTTCCAGTATTTTCAACTATATAAGAAATTATTAAATGTAAGTTTTGAAAATGAACAAACTATTAAATAAAGTGTCGAAGATTACCTTGAATTTCTATATCTTCTTCAAACAGTTATAGGAACTTCGGAAGAGTCAACAACATTCGATTCCTCATTATTTGTTTGTTCATGCTCTTCAGAAGCTCGAACAATTCGCAAATCACTTATTTTTCTCCTCGGCATGATATTTGTAATAAGCAAACAACATTTGTAATAAGAAAATGATTTAATTAATGAATATATTGAAAGACAACATGTTAAAAGTTATAACATTATAAATAATAAATAAAGATATAAAATCTTACAACATTCTTATGTAATGTCAGTTGTCATAAATGTCTTCATCAACGTCCTCCCGAACCCATTGAAATTGTGTTGTATTAGTGATAGTTTCATCTAAGTTTTGTGTTACTAGAGGTAAAGATTCTGATATTGTTTCAATGTCATCTCTACTTCCATCCCCGATGTCTATCAAGTCCCTAAGAGTATTACGGAGCACAACATACCAACCGTCATCCATTGGATCGTGCCAGTAAAATACTTGTTTCACTTGAGAAGAAAATACATATGGTTCATCCATCAATCGTTAACCAGTGTGAATTAATCAAGAGAAATTCACCATTGTAAACCCGAATTTATCTCTTTTTATGCCTCGATTACTGTTTACATCAACCCAGTCACACTGAAACAACATAACCTTTCATTTTCCATAATAATATAACTCAATAATGTCCGTAAGAATTCCATGATAATCAACATCTCCCTCCTGTGAATTATTGTCCCTGACACTAGCATAACTAATAGTTGAAGAAGTAACTACGATTCTACAATTTTGTGTTCTTCTTAATCTTTCACGAGATTTTATGTGGAACTTGAACCCATTAATGAGGAATATATTATATCTTTTAACTATTCTATTTGGACCTTGAGAAAGCCATTTAACATCTTCACTAACTTCTCTCCCACTCCAAACCTATTACACTGAATGGTGAATTAATTTGCATTGATTTCGATATAAAAGCAAGACATATATTTTTATAAGTGTATGGAATGATTTAGTTGCTTACCGTCTGGCCTAACCATTCATGAAAAGTGTCTGTGAATAACTTATGTATCTCTCGCTGATGTAATCTTTGGGAGCGTGCACGAGATCTTTAGACTTCTTTAAACTCACTATAAAGTATATTATGTCGTTAAAGAATGATAAATATAAAAGATTACGAAATTTCATTAGTATTGGGTCCGAAAGACTTACGTACGAAAGGGATCTATTGAATCGTGATGGAAAATAACATATCAGTGTGCTTGTACCCAAGACGTGTCATCTAAGTGTGCAATTTCAACTTTCCCTAGTGGTTGACCATAACTTCCAAACAAATAATGTTGAGGTAAATCATTAGTAATAAACACATCATTTCTGTTTGGTCTATTCCATATTGTTTCAACATCTTCCAAATATCTAGAGCAAAATGTCATACATTCCTCTGCCAAATATCCTTCAGTAATTGATCCTTCCGGATAACGCTTATTACGACAGTAAGACTTCAACTTGCCCAAGAACCTATACACAAAACAACATACTACGCAAATACATTTTATTAAAGGTATAATCACTAGTCATTTGAAACATATAATTCAATTAAAACCTCTCTATAGGGTACATCCATCGATAGAAAACTGGTCTACTAACTCTTTCTACGTGAGGAAGATGATTAGTAGATGCACCATAATTGTGAAGAATGAAGGTAGAAATATATCTTGTAGTTTATCAAGTTCTTCAACCATCAGAACTTTCCCACATATGGCTTTCATTATATTAGAAAATTCAATGATACAAGATGTCACCTTACCAACATGCAATCGCATACAACTATTGACAGTAAATCTTGCATTAACATGTGATAATCATGTGACTTTAAAGAATAAAGTCTTCAATCTTTAACACTGAAACATCAAGATATATTTGATGCATACCCATATGGGACCTTTATATCCTTCAACACTGTGCACAACACTTCTTTTACTTTATTCGAAAGAGAAAAAATAGAAGGCGACAAGAAATATTTTCCATTAGAATGTAATTGTGGATAAAGATCATGTCGAATTCCCATGTTGACTAAGTCAATTCGACTCTTGAGATTATCTTTAGATTTTCTTCCATCATTCAGAATGGTCCCGATAATATTCTCACAAACATTCTTCTCAATATCCATTACATCAAAATTATGTCTCAAAATCTGATTCTTCCAATAAGGGAACTTGAAGAATATACTCTTCTTTTCCACAAGTCTACCTTATTTGGATCATCCTCTTCATCAAACTCATCACTCTATTGGTCAACTTCAAGCTCTTTATTGACTTGCTTTGCCTTTTTCTTTAATCGTGTATTAGTTGGTTGATTCATCTTTCCATAAGTAAAATTGATATTTTTCAACATAGAGAATATATCAGACCCAGTTGTTTGATCAGGAGCATTTCGAAACTCTTCATTACCATCAAACATATTCTTTTGACATCTAAATCTATGATTATCAAGTAACCACCGACGATGTCCCATAAGAGAACTTCTTTTCATTAAACAACCACTTCGAACATGTTTGTGCAGTACAACAAGGACAAGCATAATGACCTTTGGTACTCCAACCAGATAAATTTACATACGCAAGAAAATCATTAATTGTCCATAATAAAGTTGCACATAAGTTAAAGTTCTCATTCTTCAACACATCATATGTTTCGACCCTTTACCATAACTTTTTCAACTCTGTAATTAGCGGTTGCATCTAAATATCAATATCATTTCCGGAGCCTTTCTCGCCAAGGATTATCATGGATAAGATGAAAGATGATTGTTTCATGCAAATCCACAGAGACAAATTGTATGGAACAAGTATAATAGGCCAAGTATTATACGAAGTACTCATGATTTTGAATGGATTAAACCCATCAGTTGCAAGACCGATCCTGGCATTTCGAGGATCTCTCGCAAAACTTGGATACTTGTTGTCAAATGACTTCCAAACTAAAGAATCCGCAGGATGCCGTAATAAACCATTATCGGTTCTGCCATCATGATGCCACCTCATAGACTCAGCAGTCTTGCAAGACATAAACAATCTTTGTAGCCTAGGTATGAGAGGAAAATATCACAAAATCTTTATCGGTTTCTTTCTTAATCGTGGTTGAGCTTCATCCTCAGTAACATTTTATGTGTCTCTAGTCATCCATCGAGATTTTCCGCATACATGACAAGACTCCTGATTTTTTCGATCACCCCAATACAACATACAATTATTCGGACAACTATGAATTTTGTCATATCCAAGACCCAAATCTTTTATCATTTTCTTCATATCTTTGCATGATTGAGGGATTTTTGCAAAAGAAAACACTTCTCCTTGTAACTCCAACAATTGCGTAAAAAAGTTACCAGTCCACCCTCCCAAGCATTTTAAGTGGAAAAGACGAATGCAGAAAGAAAACTTTGAAGACTGTGATCCCTCATAAAGTTTTTCATTTAGCAAATTGTAAAAATTTGCCGCTTCTCCATTTGGCTCTTCATCACATCCAATTCTTCCCATTTAAATGAAATCATTAACATCATTGTCACAATAATTTTCTCTAATAGACTGCTGATGATTATACATATTAAATGCATCTCGTAACATCCCTTCCATGTCATCTTCTCTAACAGTTGGATGGTTTGAAGGAGCAGGATAAGTCAAATAACTCATGGAAGCAAATCTATCTGATATAAACTCTCCATGAAATATCCATTTTCTATACCTCCGAATAAATCCAAAAACAACTAGATACTCGTACAAAACTTCACGAATGTGCCAATTAACTTACAAGGGCAAAGAATCATATTCTCTTGGCTTGCATTCACAAAAGCTAAATTTAGAAAGTTTTCGACTCCATTTTGATATTCGACGCTTACCCTCTAGAAATCCATCCAACTCTTATCCATTTCGTATTTCTGGAGTTTCAATTTCAAACGTTAAATGCTAATATTATAGAGAAAGTTAGAACCTAAACATAAGCATTAAACTATCAGATTTAGTGCATAATAATATGTGCATAGTATAAAACTAATCACTCCTAAATTATAAAACTTTTAAATTGATAAAATTTTATGGGAGCAAGTGTATCTCTGGTATTTTATAAAAATTATAAGGGTGCATATATATAACTGCATAGTATAGAACTAATCACTTTCACAGATATTTCATCGAAATCAAGCATTTAGATCTAAACAAACTCGTGTTTCACAATTTGTTCGTGACCAAGTTCATTACTTTGTTCCATGTAAAAAAGGTTCAA